AATTAAAAAAAAAGATAATCCTCCTCCTCAGGCACACAGACTTTACATACTGATGATTACAATTAGTCTTCTGATGATGCTGTATTCATGACTAATGCTTCCAAGTTGTGTATTTTTAAATTCCTGTACACCTCACAAGTGTATTCACTAACTCTGAATATAGCAAATGTGTACAAAACAAGCAGTCATAGGCTTTTGCCTTAAATGTTCATGAAGTGAAGAAGTTAAGGGAAAACGCTAATGAGCTCATTGTCTCAGTTATGAGAAGCTTTGGCACAACTTATTATGGTGACAGATGTTCTGCTTCCTAGAACCTTTTTGTTCCACCCCCAAAATCTATATTTTCCTTTAGTATATTGATTTCTTGTTATAGAGCAGGAATGGCTATGAAATGTCTTTATTTGGGAGCTGAGGGATGCCAAGATGTGAGAGGGGAAATGTATCATGATTTACAGGAGACCTGAAAGGATGAGTGGAGGACTCAGGAGAAGGCAGTCTGTATCCGGGAAATTATTTACAATTTGACTGAAGTACAGAGAGACTCACCAGAGGAAGAAAAGGGGGGAGCAAATGAAAAAAGCACCCAATCACAGGGAAACCCTTTGATGGATGAGGGAGATACTTTAATAGATGAGAAAGCACTTTCCCCAGTGGCCAGTTGGCTCACCTCATCCCTCTTTTGGCCTGTAGCACAGTGGAAAGATTCGGTGTAACACGTTATGGAATATATGACAGTGGTCCAGCTGAGATGTCCCAATAACAAACAGAAGTGTTCTTTTCTCTTTTGAGGAGGGGCCGCTGATTTCTCTTTTGGGCTGAGGCTAGATCTTCACTACCAAAACATAGCTGGAAATTGAGTCGACTGATTATGAACAATGTCCCAAATGCCACTTTTCTTAGCAATACAAATAACATTTCTGTAGTATATTTAGAGTTTCAAAGCATGCTCACGTGCGTCATCTCCTTTTATCTTATAAATAACCCTGCGAAGTAAGTGTCATTACTTTCATTTTATACTTGAGAAAACCGAGGTTTAAAGAAGTAATTAGCAGGAGAATCCACACCAGCGTCTGTCTGACCATGCTATCTTTCTGGCTCCTCCAATAAATGTCAATCTATGGCCACAGTTTCCACAAAGGGCTTTTTGGGGGCGATCTCTGCCAAGCATACCTTAGGTTTCAATGATGTTTTTCCCTCCAGGCCAATTCTATGGCCCTTGACATCTCTTAAAGGCCTTAAGAGCCCACTTGAGGTCTCTTGGGAGATCTGGAATGAGGGTGAGGGCTGGAAGTGGGCAGAGCAGTGTGGTGCCCCAGTATCTAAGCTATGGCTTCCCTAGGCTTCCGAGGACCCTGTATCCTTTGTGTCTCATAGCTGTATCCTTCTCTGCAGCTCACACCTGCAGCACCCTCTCGTATGTCCTCTCAGAGGCCATAGATTGCCCTCCAGCCATCCTAGGTATCCCATTTCTCAAAGTCTCTTTTACTTCTATATCACTCAGGATATCTCACCCAGCAGTTAGAAAGCAATCACTTACTGCAAAGTGCTATCTCCTTGAGAGAACTTCCCATATGGGAAACAGCCAGGGGAGATGGGGTCTTCCGTAATCACACCAAACCTGTCCTTTCATCCGTGGCAGAAAGCCTCAGACTTGAAGCAACATCCCCACTTCTTCCTCTGATAACTTCCTAGTCTGATGGAATCTTTTCTACCATCAGTGTCAACAAGCTTACAGTCATCCCTATGCATGGAAGAGAGGGAGTGGCCTTGCCCCAGCTCGACAGTACAAAGTCATCCCAATTACAGTAACAGTTGCAGGCTCATGTACAGATTTGCCCGCACCTGTGCCATTGCTAGTTGTGGTACCTTGGGCAAATATTTACCTTCTCTGGGACTCGGTGTATGCATCCTTAAATAGGGTAAATACTACATATGGAATGGTAATGAGAATTAAAACTCCTATATAGGGACACCTGGGTGGCTCAGTGGTTGAGCATCTGCCTTTCGCTCAGGAAATGATCACGGGGTCCTGGGATGGAGTCTCACATCAGGCTCCCTGCAAGGAGCCTGCTTCTCCCTCTGCCTCTCTCTCTGTGTCTCTCATGAATAAATAAATAAAATCTTAAAAAAAAAAAAAACACCCAACTCCTATCTATTTAAGGTACTTAGAATAGTTCCTTGCACACAAAAGCAACATAAGGATTAGAAAAACTGCATTTGTAGAAGAAATTACCTACTTTTAAAAGTAGCTGCTCTATATGAGGTTCTTTACATCTAAAATTCAGATGTCATCTGGAGACATACTGACCCTTCAGAGGCAGATAATAGGTGGCTTCGATTCATGGGTTAGAGAAAAACTTAATAATCCATGGATTAGAGAAAAACTTAATAATCTCAATAATCTCCTCAAGAGTTCTTTGAATTCCCAAGGGAACCTTACACTTTTTGATTAGCTCAGGCTCTAAACAGCAGTTTCTTCAGAATTATTCTGTTTGGGATTGTTTTGTTGTTCTGCAATACATTGTGTGACTGTCCCACAAATGTTTAACTCAGATTTATATTTATAACTCAGATAAAACTTATAAAGGAATTCATGTGTGTAGCAATCTTTACTGAACCTTCAGGAAAAAAGCAGGGTTGACCTTACAACAACCCAATCAATTTTAAATTCGTTATCAGTCATCGCTGTTCTTTATATGGTTTGTGACTCTGTCCACATGTTCAGATTGGGCCTCCTTAATCTTGCTGTTTCGTCCTTTTCCCTACTCCTACTGTCTCTCCTCAAGCTTTCACTCCCAGATTGCCTCAGACTCCAAATCCCTCTTCTTTCATTATGCAAACCCACTGAGCTCTCTCCAGCCCATGACTTTTTTTTAAAAAAAACCTGGCTAAACTTTTCCCACAGAGAGACCTTGCTGAAGATGTAAAATTATCCTTTTTGAGAACTTCATTAAATGACTGGCCCAAGATGAAACTCCTCCTTGCTCTGCATTTGTATGGTTAGTAAACATACACTACCTCCATTAGTTCTCATAGCAGTGCTGCAAGGTAGGCCTGACTCTCCCTCTTTTATAACCAGGAAAACTAGACTCAGAGCAGTTAAGGAATATACCCATCTTGTAGCTGGGAAGGGATGAGCAGAGTCAAGGCCATGTGGGTCTGGCTCGGAATCCCTTGCTATTTTCACAGTACACTGCCCCATATGCTGTGCTAGGTCCTGGGAATCTAAAGGTTCCGAGGTCATGGCAGAGATCAGAGGAGCCACATGGAACTTCTCTCTGGGCCCTTCATCTTGGACAACCCCCTGCTGTGCTCCTGGCTGCCATCTTATGCTAAGTGTCTACAATATGGTGCCCAGACCTGAGCCCAGACTTCCCGGTGGAATCCTAGCAACACAGAGGAGAGAGCAGGACCCTCTACTTCATCCATTACCCTGGACTTCTAGTTATATAACTGGCGGTCCCTTTGGCTCTTTGAACCTCCATTAATCATTGCTGATTTATCCTAACTTTTCAACCAAAAAAAATGCCTAAAACAAAGTTCTTCCTTGAGCTCTGGAGTTAGTCCTAGGGTGAATTCTTGTTTTACCACTTCCTGTGAGAACCTGGACAATTCACCTCTTTTTTAGGCCCCAGTTTCCTCCATTGCTCTAAAAGAGACAATATTATTTACCTTATAAGATTGTTAGAGGAATTAAATGAATTAATGCATGCAAACTGCTAACCCAGTACCTGGAACACTGTAAAGTTCAATAAACATTAGCTGTAATAATAACAATAATTATTATAAATGGCCATCCTCTCTTCCACCTCCAGAAAATCTGATTTCTGCCTTGTTCCATCCCCCCCCCCCCCCTTCTCCACGCAAGCCTGCATACACGAGCATGCGCACATTATTAGAAGGCGCCCTCCTAAAGTAGAAGGCCTGGCCTTAGAAACCCTGGATTCAATTTAATCACATGCTAGCTGTGTCTCCAGATGTTCAATCTCCCTTAGCTACAGCTTCTTCCTGTGCAAAATGGAAACCGTAATTTTGTACTCACTTAACTCACAGATTCATCATAAAGATTACATAAGCCAGAAATGTAAAGAAGCTCAGCACTTATTGACACCTTATTTCCATTCTGCTCATAAACTATGTCAGTAGATTATTTGTAACTTAGTGCAGGATTTTATACTAATTCCCAATCATGCAGATTTATTTAGGATTTATCAGATTAACATCATTCATTCATTCTTTCATTGTGAGGGGTGGGGTGGCCATAGGCAGAGAGAGAATCTCTGTGCTGAGTACAGAACCCGACTTGGGGCACAATCCCATGACCCTGAGATCATGGCCCGAGTGGAGATCAAGAGTCAGATACCAATTGACTCAGCCACCCAAGAGACCCCAGATTAACATCATTCTAAGTGACTTCTCTATATTCAGCCTTCACATTTTTTTCTCATGTGATATATTTATTGGCTCATGAATTTAAAAAAAAAATCTATTCATATCAAAATGAAAGCACTGGAACCCTATCCCTACTAGTCACACATTTTCTTTTATCATTCAGAGCAAATCTGTACCAATTGGCTGCCTAATATACTGTGCTGGAGGCAATGGCAAAAGAAATATAATTTGGGATGGGTGTCTTCAAGTCATCTAGTATATTGGGGAAAGACCTTCACGTGTGACCTTAAATGTTAATGTCTTGAAACAGTTACAAAACCTTTCAAAGAAACCTAGAAAATGGGACGCCTGGGTGGGCTCAGCTGTTTAGCACCTGCCTTTGGCCCAGGGCGTGATCCTGGAGGCCCCGGATGGAGTCCCACATCGGGCTCCCCTGCATGGAGCCTGCTTCTCCCTCTGCCTGTGTCTCTGCCTCTCTCTGTCTCTCATGAATAAATACATAAAATCTTAAGAGAGAGAGAAAAAAAAGAAACCTAGAAAACCTCAAAACGTCCCATCATGGGACAACCTCCTAACTCTGAGGCTTATTCTCTTTAACAACAGTCTTCCCTCCCGGCTCTGTATGAAATGGAAGAGACGTGACATTGCGGAACTGAAAAATCTCAGGGTTCGTCACCTGACTTTCATGCTGAAGGGCCCCAGGGGGTCCAGGACTGGCCCCTACATCTAACAGGAGAAGGAGCAGTGATCCTGGAGAGAGCGAAGGACTTGATCCCCATCCCTCCAGTCGGTGGCAGAACCTGGGCGAACGCAGGCCGGCCTGGGCTCGTCGGGTGGTTACAAAACTATCGGAATCCAAGTAGGAGGATGGGACAGGCCCCGGGAAGAAGAGGTACATTTTGCGCACACGTGGTTCTGATTGCTCCCCCAGCCCCCCCAGCCCCCCAGCGTTCCCTCCCCCGCAAACGTCAAGAGGGGAGGACCCCTGCAGAAGAGAGAACAAGGACCCCTGGAAAGCGTCCCTGGCGGGGGCGGGGTTGGGGGGTCGTGTGGCGGGGCCCCCAACACCCCGCGGGCGGGCGGCGGACCCGAGGCCTTTCCCTCCCCGCGCGCGGCGCCCGCCCCGCCCGGCGCCCGGCAGTAACCCCGGGGCGCCCTGCAGCCTCGGCGCCGAGCCTTTTGCGGGGGGGGGGCGGGGGGGATACGGGCATGTGCTCCTTCTCTCTGCAAACCTGGTAGTTAGGTCGGGCCCCTCCCTTGCAGAAATACGAACTTGGACTCTGTGCCCACGTGGCTTCTCCGCGAGCGTGTGCGGCCTTCGCAAGCCGGGCTCCCTTGCTACCCGCCGGGGGGGGGGGACGCGGGGAGACGGGCTCGCCGGGGAGGGGCGGGCTGCGCACGAGGGGGCGACGGCAGCCGGCGGGGGGGCAAGCGAGACGTCCGGGAGGCCCCGGCCCTACGGAGGTCGCCCCGCGGGGCCCGAGGCTGTGCCCAGCCCCGCCAGGCCCAGGGAGGGGGGCACACCCGCAGGGCCCACGCCCTTGATTTCAAGCGGAACGGAAACCACCAAAAAGTAGGCGCTCCGCACGCCCCGCCGCGGCCGGCAGCGAGCGACGCGCAGGCGCACACGGCGCCGCGTCTGCCCTCGAGTAACCCCGCGCCGCCGGCCGGGCGAACTAGGTGAAAGGTAACTAGCGGGCAGGGCCCCGGGCGACGGCCCCAGCGCGCGTGCGCGGTCCGGGTGCAGCGGGCGGCGTTGGGGGGGGGGCGTCGCTCGGCTCACCTCGGCGGGCGTGGCGGGCAGGGGAGGGGCCGAGCGGGGGGCGGGGGGGCAGCGGACCCGGGAGACCCCGATCGAGCGCCACCTGTTCGCCCGCTGGGCGCGGGGCGTGTCCCCGCTAATTCCGGCGGCCCCTGGAGGAGGCGGGGGGGGGGGGGGGGAGGGCTCCCGTTTATGAAAGAGGAAACCGAGGCCTGCGATTTCGTGTCACTTGCCCAAGGTCATACAGTCTGTAAAGGGCGGTTTCCAAAATGGTCCCTGATTGGAGATGTCTTTCTTTTCTTTTCTTTTTTTTAAATTTGTTTTTAAGTAGTTTTTGGGGTTTGGGTTTTTTGTTTGCTTTGCCCCGGGGCTGATAGCCGACATGGATACTAGCGCATTTTAGAAGGCGCCTCTTAGACATTACTAGTTCTATCTTGACCTGAAAGCGACGAGATAGGTGATATAGGTAATACTACTATCTCTTGTAGGTGGACAAACCGAGACTCAATAAAGTTGTTCTAAGATCACACACACTAGCAAAGTCGAGGTCTTAGGCCTCATTTTAGTGGAATCAAGAAGGATCAGGTTCTTCCACCCTCTATCCCACAGACCTATAGGGAATATGAGAGCTTCCAGCTCCAGGGCATGATGAGAGGCACAGGCCATGAGGAAGGCAAAGATGTCCTCATGGCTGGGGGTTCCACTACACAGTTATAGAGTGACAGCTCCTTCTAGGAGATATTTGGGTTGTTAGCTCATTGAGGGAGGGACAGAGAATGCACTGCTCATGGTTTGTGGAACTTGTTTGTTGGTGAGGATATAACTAAACGAACACATACTCAACCCCAGGGGGAAGCAGCAATAGTGTCTGGCACCGGGTGAAGTGATTACTGTCTTGTGACTTTTCTCCAGTGAGGGCTCTTGCATTCATTTAGCAAACATACTCAGCACCCACTCTGCTGTGCACAGAACTGGAAAACAAGATAGGAGCCCTGAAAGGCTGGAAGGCCGTGCCTCTCCTGCAAACTCCATTCTGAGTCCTAGACCTCTGGGAGTTTGCCCACCTCCATGCATGTGGAAGCCACAGGGTCTCTGCTGTGAGGCAAGAAATGCACCGCTCAGGGAGGGGCATGGGACCAGATTACACTCCCCCCACCCTAGGTGCCCAAGCTGTCCCTCAGAATCACAAAACAAAAGCAGCTCTGCTCCTCACCCCAGGAGGTCTTGGAAACAACTACCCAGAGGGAAATGCAAGGGAAGCAGTAAAAGCTGCAGAGCAGCCGCTGATAGGCCCCCTCCCACCCTCATCTCTTTCCAAGAATCCCTTCTTCCCTTGAGTGTCCAGTCAGGGAATTGGAATGTCACTGCCTGTGCCCCAAAACTATGCTGCTGCTCAGGCTGATAAAGACAAAGGCTGCAATTGGACTGTCTTTGCCCGAATGTAACCCTTCCTGCCTTGTAGCCTCCCTGAGGTTGACCAGGGGAGATCAGGAGCCGCGTGATTACTGTCAAGATGCCTCTGCAAGCTGCCTGCTGGTGGTATTGGCAGAAGGAAAGCTGTTTGGGACTAACACTTCTAATCTGTTGGGAGTCCCCTGTGCCGACACCCTGGGCACTTTGCTCGTCACTTTTACTTGAGTTCCCATGGGCTCCTCCATGGCCCTATGCAATCTAAGTGGTGTGATCATCATTTTGTAAAGGATAAAACTGAGGTTGTGGAAGGGGTGATTTCCAAGTAAAAGGCATGGCTGAAACTCACCTCTCACTGTTCTATCCATTTAGAACCCAGCATCCCAATGGGGCAGGTACTTGGAGCCGGTTGGGAAAACTATCCCTAGGATACTCACCTTCCCTAATTAGCCCAGAGATACTTCAGTAAAAATGTAGAACACGTGAAATTCCATGCCTTATACAAAGTTAAATAATAAGCGACTCAACAGAGGAACAAATGAATGGATGGATGAAAGTATAGAGAATGAGATGTGATTAAAGTGCCTGGAATTGTACATGCACATAGTAGACACTCAGTATTTCCTTAATGAATCAGTAAAAGAGAAAGAAGAAATCAAAATATAAAAAATGTAAGAATTTCAGTGTGTGGGGCAGATATTTTAGGAAAACCATTTCCCAATCTGAATCTCACAGATAATGTTTATAGTCCTGTTGGAATTTGAAATGTTCCTTTTGAGTTATTGCTGAAAAGTTTACTGGCCCCAGAAGGTTCTCAGGAGATATACAAAAAGTGGATGCAGTTAAGCCCTGGCCCACAAGCCCCTTCCTATTGAATTACCTGTCATGCTGCTTCTTGGGTGTGATTCGTGCTGCTGGTTTTTATCAGTTGGAAACCCCTCTCATCCCATTCACTAAGCACTATGACATACTCTTTATGAAGCACTACGTACGTTACAAAGTGTGTAAGATATGGTTCTTGCTCCCAGGTGAGGAAAACATGAGATGTGGAGTCAGACATCCTAGGTTTGAGTCCCTGCTCTTATCAGATTGTGTACTTCTGCACATTACTTAACGTTAGCAAGCCTCAGTTTCCCCATCTGTGAAAGGGGTACAAAATTACCTCACAGATAGCAAGAAAATTTAATAATATATTAAAAATGAGGGATTAAAAAAGGAGGGATTAATAAGAGGTGAATGCTACCAAATTAATTTTATGCAGAAAGAATATGGGGAATGTTGTACCAGGCATCAAATCTAGCTCTCTTTAGGGAAGGGGAACCGGAACCTTGAGACCTAAGAAAGATTGTGAACTGGAGGGTTTCCAGGCAGCATAGAGCAGAGTTTTACTGGCCAGGAACAGTATAGAAACAAGGTAAGTGCCTCCTGGGCCTCGGGCCCTCACCTTGGGCCATATGTCTACTGAGATATGACTGTGTCCCCTGAATCTGGAGCATCCCAGAGCTGAACCCCATGAGAACTTTGCTGTGTAACCATGCTCAAGGTGCCATTTCCCTGCTCAGGTCAGCCTGAATTCATGACAACCGGCGTTCGTTGAGTCTCTGCTGCATGCTAGACCCTAAGAATTCAGAGCAGGCCTGATAACAAATGTAAAGTCTGTAAACACAGAATGACCTGAAGGTTTAGAGAGCAGAAACCCAGCCCAGTGGGAATGAGAACTCCCCAAGGAGGTAGCCTTTGGCTGAGATGTGAAGGAGGGAGCATATTTCGCCTAGGGTAGGAAAAAAACAAAATGGGTTCACGCCTTTTGACAAACAAGTAAACAAAAACAAGTAGAATTCCATATTGGCCATATTAAACACTTTCTTTGATTTACCCATGAACTTTAGAGGGAAAGGAAGAAAGCAGGAGGAAATGCATCTTGGTCATCTTGGAAGGAAGATGAGTAGTTAAGGTTTTCCAGCCAGCTTCGCCTTGGTTACCAGCTCTGCAGCCCTGACTCGTCACCTCCTCTCTGTGCCTGTACCCATGTCTATAAAACAAGAACTCTTGTACCTAACTGACAGCATCATTTGGGGATTCGATGAGATGGCGACGGTAAAGTATCCACTACTGTACCAAGAACTTGATTAACTCTGGGGAAATGGCACCTTTTTCTTCCTTCCCCACCACATGGAAGGTCAGGGCTCAATATGACTGAACTCCTTTATTTGCTTGTAGCCACACAGCCTCTTTTAAAACAATAGGCCCCCCCCCAAAAAAAAACACAATAGGCCCAGAAAGACTTCCAGATATCTTCCCAGACTCAGAAATGTCTGCTTTCCCTTTATCCATAGAAAAACTTGTGCAAATGTCCACCCCTCGGGAACAGAGCAACTCTATTAATTAAGCATAACCCTATTCTGTCTGAAGACTGTAATTACCCTTCTCTGTAGATGTCCTGCCTTGAGAATTCCTCTGCTCCAGGGGCAACCTGTCAGAGCCTGACCTCCTGAGGGTGGGGATGCAGGAGAGCTGGGGTCTCACAGTCTGTTCACAAACTCTAGTCCCCCTGGAAGGTTGTTGTAAATAATTAACGTGAGTCCTGTTTCTTTCCCTAGCCTCATAGTGGTTCCAAGGACAACAGTACAGAGGAAGGCCAAGTCTCTGAGGAATTTCCTGAATAATCCAAAATGCTCAAGTGTCAAGGAATTTCCCCACACAGCATCCAAGTCTAACCCATTCTGCATTTTGTCCCACTTCGCATTTGAATACACTGTAGTGAGTACACAGAAAATTTTAATTCCCAGTCTTTTTTTTTTTTTTCTTTTCCAGAGTTAAGTCACTGGGAAAAACTGTAAAGGCTATTAAAAGGAAACAAGAACTTTGAATTCCACCTAAACTCATTTCAATAGCTTTATGTCCTTGGGGAAACCAGCAGCTGGTCATTTCAGGAGCTTAGAAAGAGGGCAGGTGACTGGGGTCCTAACCCTGTTTCTACCTCTAACCCAACTTACAGCCTAAGCTAAGTCATGCCCATTCTCTCAGTCTCAGTTTCCACACCTGTAAACTTAAAGGTTTGCCCTAGTCAAACTTTAGGCTCCTTTCCAATTATCAGGCACCCCTGATATGTATTTGGAGTTTTGCTACTTGCCTCCAAAGCAGGGAGAGTTTTGAAACTAGAAGCCAGCATTTCAGAAACCTCAGCAAAGGAAGGCCTGTTAAACACTGGTGTTTGTTGAAATTCAAGCACAAACACCAATCACAATCCAACAACAAAGTGCAACTGAGGAACTATGTACTTGAGAACAATGGAAAGCACTATTTCGTTCTTTGCCAAAAGTTAAAACTAAATTTAACCTTTTTTTTCTAAGTTTATTTTATTTATTTTGCTGTGTGTTGAGTGTATTTTTTAAAGGAAGCAGGCACTTTAATTAAAAGATAATACTGTGCCAATTTTTATTAGTTCGGGGAAACAATGTGCTTACCTTTCTGCACATTATATGTACTTTAGATAAGAAATGAGGACTTTTAGAATCAGTAGCTAGGAAGAACCATTAGTATATTTATAAGTTAGCTTTTTTTAAGCAAATGGTTGAGATGGTGTAGTGGACACTGTTGGTGCCTTATTGGTACCTGTCTGTCCCCAGCTGCTGTGAGTGCTCACTGCTCAAGGCTCACAGAAATTGCCCTGCACAGAATAGGTGCTGACTCTCCTAGGGGGTTATGTTCCCCTCACTTGCAGCCCAAAACTGACTGATAAGGGGTTAAACTACCTGGCATTTCACCTCAGGATGATTCCAACTGCACTGTGATTTACGCTCTGCTCTGGAGCTCCCCTTGGATCAGTCCAGAACTACACTTTTCCTGAAGTAATGTATTTATCTGACTACTTGCCCATCCCATCCTGCTTCCACACACACAATTCCTACACCATAGGATCTCTGGAAGGATACACAAAAAAAACTGTTAACGGTATTATTTCTATGAAGAGGAACTAGAGGTCTAGATTTCTTTTCATTCCATATTTAATATTGTAAATATGTGTTTGTATTAGTCAAGAAAACCAGTTGATTTTTTAAAGTACCACTTACTGTAGAAACTATATAATATACAGAAAAATAAAAGTCACTTAAAATCCCAACTCTAAAATACACCATTGCTTATATTTTGGTGTATTTCCTTTTGGTCTTCCTTCGATTTGAAGGCTTTTTTTTTTTTTTTTTAATAAATGGGATTATAATATGCATGTAGAGTTATATTCTGATTTTTGGAATCAATTTTCCAGCCTAAGTATTTTCCCACATCAATAAATTTTATGCTAAAATATCATTTGTAATGGCCATTTAGTTTTCTGCTGTATAAACATATAATTTTTAAATCAGTTTCTTAATGGTGGCCATTCAGATTGTTTCCTATATTTTGCTATTGTATACAATACAGTGCTGGTAGATAGCTGGAATCTGTTGTTCCCTTAAAATAGATTTCTAGATGTAGATTTGTTGGTCAAAGAAAAGGGAAAATTTTAAACTTATAATAATGAAATATTGAATTGTCCTCAAGGTTTGTATCCATTTACAGCCACCCCAGCAATATATATGAGTATTAATGAGCCCTCACCAGCTCTGAGTACAATGAACCCGTGGCATTCTTGGGTTTATCATCGTCAAATTTCTACTCCTCAGGAGCTTCCCAAAAGGTTCCTGATAGGTAGTAATTGGTCATTGGTTGAGATAGGATTGGGAAACTGCCAGGATTGGCTGGGAAGATCACTTAGCACTCAGTACATCTAGCTAAGGGCCCAGAGTCTGCAGTCACGGTAGAAACTCTGTAGCAGGGTCATACTGACTTCATCCGACAGTGTGGCCACTTCTGATCACTGTTTCATCCATCAGCACATTTACTGGGCAGCAGAGGTCACTGGCACCCATCCTCACCCTGAATTTTTGCACATTCAAGTAAACTCATGGTTTGGTTTGCTTCAATAATGATATCCTAATAGTTTCAAGTTTATTTCTACAACAGAATTTATTTATTTGCTTATTTATTTGGGAGGGGAGGGGCAGAGGGAGAGGGAGAGAGAGAATCTTAAGCAGGCTCCACACCTAGCGTGGAACCCAGCACAGGGCTCGATCTCACAACCCTGAGATCATGACCTGAGCAGAAGTTCAGGGTCAGATGCTTAACTGCCTGAGCCACCCAGGTGCCCTTACAGCAGAATTTTTTCTAAAACCACTATCGGTTACTTTAGTAAGTATAGATTTTATTAAGGATCTCACAGGGTTGCTTCAATTTCTCAGTTATTCTTTAATGCAGTTTCTAGAGGAAGTTATATGCTATGCTGATATTTATAGTTTGGTATCTCCAAATTCTGGAGCTATTCCTCCCAGATGTCTTCTGTTATTCCAAATGAAATGGAATTTAAATATTCAATTGTGCTCAGTGTGCACAGAACCCAGGACAGTAAGTGTTTCAAATGTCCCCATCCTGTGTCCATTTCACGCCATGTTATCTGGATGCTTTTGTGACCTTTATGAACAGGCTTCTAATAAGCCTGATAAATGCACAATCCCACAGTCTGGAAGTTCAAGGTTCCAGTGCCAGTTCTGGCCCTGAGAAGCTGAGAGTCCTCAGGCAACTTACTTCTCTTCAAGTTCCTCATCTTTAAAGGATAAGTTTATTCTCAGATAGCAATTACCAACCTGGGATCCTAGAACCTCATCAAATCTTGAAAGGTAGTAATGAGTATTCACAAGCTATTTCTAATATTTTATTAGAAATCTAATATTATATAGATTTAGATTTGACAGGATAACAAAGGGGGCCCTTTTGTTTGTTTGGGCTGTGATGATGCAGGAAACCTCACAACTCTATGAGGTATGTACTACTGTTATTATGAATTTACAGATAAGGAAGCTGAAGCACAGAGAGTCAAGCAATTTGCTCAAGGCTGCACAGCTAGGGTTAGTTGTTAGCGGTGGAAAGAAGATCAAACCCAATAATCTGATTCCAGAATCAATAACCACATTGCTTACTGCTAATTCTAATATGTCATGCTAATTAGGAGCTCTGATTGGCAGTAGTATGTCTTTAATTTTAAAAAATTAAATATTATTAATTAATAATTAAACACAGTTTGGTATGTGAAAATTTTCCAGAACCTCAAGTATTCAGAATAAAAGCACTTCAAAGTGTTTGAAAAGAATGGAAATGTTTGACCAGCAATGAATTAGATAATACCCACGACATTCCCTTCTGGTTCTAATGTCTATGAGACTAAGGAGGAAATATGGACATTAAAGAAAAACAACTCCATAAAACATCACTCAGACCGGAGCATTTATATTCCAAGAGTAATCAAAACACTATTTCTTTGTTAAATGGTGCAGACAGGTTTAATTTTAAAAACCAGTAATCAAATGAGAGTCAGTGGACTTGACTATTAAGAAATCTTAAAGGCAAAAGCAAAAGGGCCTTAGAAATGCAATTTCATGGTTGATTTTTAACACATTAGTGTTATGCTGGAGAATAATCACAGAGCTCTTACATAGTGCCTATGAAAACATCTGAACTGCTTTATAAACATTCTCTTCATTCTCCATAGCAATTCTTCAAATTTGATGATCAGGATAAATGCAGTCAACTTAGATTACTTAATAGCAAGAAAGGAAAAAAGAGGAGAGCCAAGGCAGGGTCTGTCTTCTGTCTATTAACCATTTCTAGCATACAGCTGGCACATGACAGAGGCTCAGTAAACATTCGTTCAATGGCTGAAAAATTCACTGAAGGGCTACTAGACCCTGGCAAAATCTCTGTTCAGCTGCCCTATATCCATAAGTTTAATATAATATAATATAATATAATATAATATAATATAATGCCAACTAATGCAATTAATCTTAAATGGCCATATGTAGTGCTGTATAATTGCTGCTAAGGTCAATAACTTTTTAAAAACTCTGTGAACTATAATCCTATCATTATATTCCAAGTTTACTTTATCTTCTCATCAGTTCTAATCCTGCCTCGCTCAGAGTTTGTGTTATATTTTGTACAGGCAAAATGATTCGGTTCTTATCCTGACATTCTTGATAAAATAGGCCTGGATTTAAAGTCAGGCTGTGAATTAATTTTTTTTTTTTCAGAGGTAGGTGAATGACTTCTGGTAACCCTGACTGAATTTAACACTGGGAGCAACCCCACCCTCTAATTCATTGTGCAATGGGGAAGTGGTTTGCTGAGCAGGCCTACACAAAAACTGTATTGCAAAAACTGTATTGTACATTAAATGTGTGAGTCATATCCCTTGCTCCTTGCTCAAGAAGGATTGTATCTTAAACAAATGATGGAATGCATGGGCCAGACACTGTTGTGGTTTCAGAGGTGAATAATATGCATTTCTAGCAATCATATGACTGGGTGCTGCGTGAGGAGGCTGGAGGGTAAGCCAGAAAGAAAAAAAAAATGCTCACAAATAATGATTCAAAGCAGAATGTGATCAGAACACTCAATTCCCACAGAGAGAGAAAAATTATTTCTAATTAGAGGATCAAAAGATAACATAAGAGATATGTCAATAGAATTGGAGTTCCCCATTTTATAAGCATCTTTTGAGCTCTGCTGTCCCCCAGACTCTGGGCCCGGCATTAGGGATTCAGAGAGAAGACCAGCACATTTGTGCACATGGAAAAGCTTTCAGTCTAGCCAGGGAAGAGAAGCTTATAGATAGAAAAGTCTCAACCCACCCTGGCAAAAGTTCTTTTAGGGAAAAGAAGAAAAAAACCTCTGCAGCACAGAAGACTAAGCAACTTGTTCTGCCTGGGGACTGTGTCACAAAAAAAAGGGGTAAATAACAGTTTATAAGAGAACTGACATCTGACCCACGCAGTGAAACAGGTGCTTTGCCTGAGGCCTTACATGCATCCATGTCCTTGATTCTCACAATAACCCCTGAGGCCCTTATTATTTCCCCCACGTTATGGATGGAAAAACTACAGTTCAGAGTTTCAATAAATTTGAAGTTGCCTAAAGTCATACAACTGGTAAGCAAAGAAGCAATGAGAATTGAACTCTGTGTTCTGATGGCTATCTCCAACTGCCCAAAAGAAAAGGGAAGAAAGCCAGAATTACAAAGGAATTTAACAGCTTGATCACAGGCTAGGCAGCAGGACAGCCAAGCTCTTCTTGGGAAAGTAACAGAACAGCTCTTCCAGGGTGTAGGCTGCCTAATAATTCAGAATATAGCTGTATCAGAATATGGAAACCATT